ACATCAAAACTATTTCATCTTTATATTCCAAAACTAAATATCCTATAGACAAATTAGATCAAACAAATGTAGTATACAGCATTGTTTGTACTCAGTGTGAAGCTGAGTATATTGGTGAGACTGGAAGAAATCTCTCAAATCGCATTATTTCTCACAAGAGTGATTGTAGAATTAAGAAACAATCTTGTGCTTTGGCAGAGCATGTAACAGACAAAGACCATATTATGGATTTTGATAATATTAAAATTTTATGTAATGAAAGTAATAAATTTAAAAGAACTTTTTTGGAAATGGTTTGTATTAGCAAAAGTGATAATAATTTAAACAAAAGGTCAGAAATTCAAAATTTAAGCAAAATTTATAATTATATAATTTCTATTTAATTTATGCAGTCAGTAAAATATCACATTTTGAATTTTCCATGTATTTGTTACATTTTTTCGGGCATCTATCAATGGTGAATAAATCTTCTTCTTTTTTGTTACTAAACAAAGAAGAATTTTTTAAACAAAATTTTATTTTTGACAATATGTCAAAAATAAAAACTCATAAATACTAACTGAAAATTTTTTATTTTTGACATATTGTCAAAAATAAAAAATTTTAAGTTAGTATTTATGACATTTAGGCTGGTTGTAGCTATTCTGTTTTTGTTTATAAATTCAATTTTTTTTTTTTCTTAAGAAACTTCATCTAAATTTTTAAGAGAAATATTTATTAGAATAAGACATTTTTTTATTAATATTTTTTGTATTTAATATGTAAGCAGTAGTTTTATATAAAAAACTAATTTTATTTGGTGAGTTAACAAAAAATTTTTTATTTCTAGTTCAACTTTGTAAGACATTTTGTATTTTTTAGAAGCTCTTGATAAAAATTGTAATCTCTAATCTGTGAAAGCTCGAGTAAAAAATAGTCAACAAATAGCCCCTTTTATTGACTCCAACCCATCAAAAACAGTATTATATTTTTTCCAAACGAGTCACAAGTACTTCTTTTTTTCTTACTCATATATATATATATATATATATATATATTTATATATATATATATATATATATATATATTGAAAACAATTCTCCATTATTTCTTAATGTGTATTTAAATTATCACTCAAACCACAGCATAAATTTTAATAAGGAAATCATAAAATCACTGTATTATGAGACCAAAATACTTGCTCCAACGAAACTGCATTTTATGAAGAAAAAAATCTTCTAACAAAGATTGTGACACACATGAGAATTCCACAAGAATGCAGAAAGGAAACAACAAAACAACAAAAACGATCCAGAAATGCTCACAAGAAGGGATTTGGAGATAACTACCAGACCATATGTAAAGGGCTTATCAGAAAAATAAAACAGGATAGGAAATAAATACATTCTCACAATAACATTTAAAACACCCAATACACGACAACAACACACAGAGAAGATAAAAGAAATAAAATACTTTATGAATTCAAGAATTTTTAATCTGAGAGAAACTTCCAACACCACCAAGTTTTATAGTTTATTTTTATGAACGAGAGAGTAATTAGCATAATTTTAACTGGTACCTCCGACCACTCCATGGGCGTGCTCAAGATTAATTGAAAAATTACTTTGAATAATTGTAAAAAATAAATGAATTATTTTAGTGTTATAAAGTGTTATGTGTATGTAAACAAAAGTGACCTCTTTTATCACACAATATATTAGACCTGACTGGCCTACATTAAAAAGGATTTTAAAAAATTCAAATTTTTTTTTAATTTTTAAAAATTACAAAAGAGAAAAAGAGTTTTTAAAACCGTCTAAGGTATGTTAAATAGATGAATAAAAATATTAATATAAAACTTACAGCTACTTGTTACAAATCCAAATCAGATTCAGAAGATGAACTTTCAGAACCCCAAGATTTATAATAACTGGCTCGATCATTTTATCAGTAATATTGTCCAGCTTCCACATTTTTTCCTCTTCTTTAATAGTGTGATTTACTGCCTTTTCCCAGTTTTCAGGTTTTACATTATTTACGGCCTCCAAAAACAACTGTTTAACATCATGAATTTTAAAAGTGGTATTTTTTCTTGAAACTTCACTCTTTATCTGTGCCCATACCAGTTCAATCGGGTTTAATTCACAATGATATGGTGGGGATCTAAGTACTGTCATTCCACGATTTTTGGCAATTTCATCAATTTCGTATTTTTAAAATTTTTCTTTATGAAGTGCACACAACGAATAAAGTTCCTTTCTTATAGATCCGGGATGGTACGTAATATTTTTTGAACTCAGCCAATTCTGCAAGTCTTTTTTTAACCACTTGGTTGTGGGCAGTCCTTCTATAAGTCTGGAGTGATAACTTGCATTATCCATTACTATTACACAGTTCTTGGGAAGAAGATCTATCATTTGTTCGACCCATTCTTGAAAGACATCAGCGTTCATGTCTTCATGGTAGTCACCGGTACGAGTTGATTCAAAAGTTAATAAACCACCTTCAACAAAACCGTCTGAACTGCCAATGTGTACTATTATCAGCCTGCGTCCCTTTCCTGATGGTGGGTTTAAACCAGTAGATAAGTTATTTACAAAAGCGTGCCTTTGACTTGTAACAGTTTCATCCTGCCAAAATTTATTTGGTTTATGACCCTCGTTGATCCATGTTTCATCAAGATAAAATATTTTTCTTTTTTGGTTTCTCATTTCCTTTATGGTTCTTAGAAAATGTCTTCTCCATATAACAATATCGCTTCTTTCTAATAAAATAGACTTTCTGGGATTCTTTTTCCAGCGGAAGCCTATTTCTTTTAAAAGTTTCCATAACGTACTTCGACTCATTTCTGGGTAATCCTTATTATCTCGAACTGAGACAAGAACTTTATCCAATGTTGGAAATTCTTGTCTAAAGAAGAATTCATGCACTTTCCGTCGAAGTCCTTCTTTAAAATGATATTCTATTTGAAATTTTGGTTTCCCTGGTGCATTACGTGGCATTTGAAAACTACCACATTTCTCTTCTTTAATAACTCTGTAAATCGTAGATTTCCCAACACCAAGTGTACTGCTAACTAACTCAACGGTCTCATCAACACTTTCACATAAACGTTTGTCTATAAATGATTTAAAACAATTAAATATTAATGTTTTTTCATTAACTGTTAAAGGACCAATTTTTCGGCGTTTACACGGCACTTCCAAATTTTCCATAACACTAGTATACACAATAAACTGCACCTTGCAACTGAATTACCTACTTTTAGTGAACTGTTAAGAATTTTGAATACGCCACTTGGACCTTCCTACAAAATGGAAAAACCCACTATCACATTTTCTGTGGAATAAGTTTAGAAGGTAATTATCTAGTCAATTACTGTCATAGATTCCTGGAATAAAAGAATTAAATGTTTGATTGTTGAAACCCTTACTTCGTGGAATGCACTCATTTCAGATAAAATAAAACGTTTTATTTTATCTAAAGAATTAAACTTTATTTTGCAAATAGCTAGGTACTTATTAAACTTTTATTGGTTATATATAACCAATAAAATAAACATCTTACATTTCTTGCAAATTCATTAGTACCTGTTAACCTCCATCACTCCGACACTGGCAACCTTATTTAGGGTTAGTAACCCTCACAACTATTGCATTCTATTCTGCTCCAACCTTTATACCTGATGGTCATACTCAATTTAAAATTGTTTTCCTATATACTTCTGTAAACTTGTTGACAAATATCTGTTTTTCATTGAGTCACTCGTATCAACAGTTTAGGGATTTGCATACATAATTTATTGTTTTATTACTCTCTCATACATAAAAATACACTATAGGATAAATGAACATGAGTCGTACATTAAAAACAAGAGACAAATCTCAGATATGGAAATATGCTTAGGATAATGAATACACAGTGTAATGCAAAGATACATCAGTAATCATAAAAGAAACAGATAGCAAAAAGGATGAAAATTCATAGAAGCAGTCATCTTACCAAATGAATAAAAATGTGTAGGAAACACATCAATAGAATGTAGCAAGACCGTTTAGTAGCAAATTAATCTGTTTTATAGAATATAGAACCAAATTCTAATATACGACGAGTTAAAAATTAAATGTTACATGACAATCTTATCATTAAATAAACATTACAACGGACTGAACTTAATGAATGGCTACAAATAAATTAAGAAGAAATCCACAAAAGAACAATATTGCCAACTATGTTCGCAAAGCAGAAGGAAAGGAGAGATTCGTTGATCAATATGAAAAAAGTGAATTTCAACCTGATTATCTAATCCTATTTGAATATATAGCCTTAACATATTTAGTTTATATATCTTATCCACTCACCTCCTGCCAATTTTAATTTTTCTCAATACATGAGACAAAGAATTTTCAAAAGCTGGTATTCTCTTCAAAGCTTCATCATATCTGTCAATATTCTTTAAAAACTGAAAAGGAACAATGTGAGTACAGAATAAAGTGTTAATTAGAAATGTAAATTACATCTAACCAGTTATTGCGAACTTCTCCACTGTAAAGCATTATGTGTCCATCAAGGCTAACACCAGTAAAAAATGAGGAAAATATGAGCACTCTACCTAAAAAGTAAAGTAGTCTTTCTTAAAATTAGTTATAAAAATGAAGAAAAATAAAAAATCATGCACTTACCTTTTAAAACATATTTAATTCTGGGATGTTGGTTTACCAGAGACATAAAACTGAGTAAACACCCTTTACGATGTTCTTCATTCCAACTACAATCCCAACGTAAATCTTCCACTTGAAGTTCATTTGTAATTATTTCTTGAAGCCTTTTAACCTCTTCCCTAAAATAATGTAAAACGTAAATATTTGCAGATTTAATGTAATTTGCAATTTATATTGAGCTATTAAAAAAATCGTAGTTGAGATAGATCATGATATCTCTAATGCCACAAATTGGTTGCATTGCTCCTGTAGTGATCATTTCCCAAGTTAATGTGCTCCTTTTCTAACTTGTTCACCGTACTGAAGACAACCAATAGTCAGAAATACGTATATAGGGTTGTCTTCCATCTATTACCATTTTTGGTTTTTAGTTTTGCGAGACAGGCCATTAATGTTTACTTTTATTTTTCACTCGCATTATCCATTTCTATATATATATATATATATATTATATATATATATATTATATATATATATATATATATATATATATAATATATACAGTATAGGTAAAAGTTTATGGTCGGTATGGACCTTACATGAGATGGAGTGAGAAACAACTGTTTAAAAAGAGAGAGGTATATTAGGTCCGCCCTTTATATCACCGAACCTAAATGAGTGGATATAATAAAAAAGGGCAAGTTCAACGTTGCCAAACTTATTGGTTTTATTTGACCTGTTGTCTTTTGAGCACAGTTTTAGTTGTCATTTGAACAATGCTCCAAGATAATCAAATTTGGGCGAAATGGATGCAGCTTACTGTTTTTTATTGGGAATATGCCACAATTTTACTTTACAATAAGTGTAATATAACATTTTGATTTATACTTCGGAAATCGTTTTATATAAATAAAATTTATTAATGTTTCGTATTTTAAGTACGATTTCCGAATTAAAAATCTAAACATCAAAATAAGTTTATTTTAAAGTCACATTGTGCCTTATTTCCAAAAACATTAAACTGTATATAAATAAAAAACCTTCATACAAAATTATTTGGCAGCGTATCGTGTCGCTTGGTCATAACACCGAATCAAAGCGTACACAGATACGAATAGAGGTGGGTCGTTGACGTCGCAAAACCGATTTTCGTAAACAAGTAATTATGATTTTTTAATAGTAGTTTCAAGAGAGTACCTACATAAACAAACATAATGGCTATTATCGTTTATGTGTATATTTATTGAAGTGAAAGAAACTAAGAAGTGAGTTGGCCGCACAAATTCTGCCGTTTATCTCTGCGCTAGTATTATTTTCAGCGTTAAGCAGCGCCCTCAGGTATACAAATTCGTTCACTGCTTCGATGACGTCGTTTTCTATAACAAGTGGCCGTAAGATTTGTGGTTGCGTGCTTATTTAATTATAACTTGAAAATTAAACTAATCAATACAAATAGTAAATCGTACTTACGTTTACATTCGTTATTATTAAATCACGAATCGTCTAAATTGACATTTAAAAACATAAGTTTTTTTTACTTTACTTCTTGTTAACCGTGTTCTCCTTTTATTTAAAATTAAACCAAATTTTGAACATGTGTTCACATTTACAATACTTTATGAATATAGTGGTTAAGTTAGGATATACATGGCGATGGTTTTTCCACCATTGTAATGGACTCTCGCTAGATGAGTCATGTCCAATTAATTCATCAAAAATACACCATGGACTTAAGTCATCTTTATCGGTTTCTTTTTCTTGTACTGGTTAATTTTCAATAGTACAATCTTCTTGTTCTTTAATTATAGAAGTAACCAGCTTCTTAACTCTTTTTTTTTTGTTTTTTAGGGTCATTTTTATCAGAAAATCCCTGCACTTTAAATCGTGAATCCATAAATGTACATAATGACAATGTGCCACTCTATTCTATCCCTCTAAATCTTTTTGCTAAACCCGATATTAGTAATTGTACTACGTCGGATACTATGGATGTAAGGTTACCGTTTGCTAAAATTTTATTGCAAGATTCTTGCAGGCAGCGTACCATAACAATCACTGAACTACCCTTCAAGTATTTTTGACCATTCATTGTACTCGTTATTTCTTTAAAAGGCCGTAAAATTTGGGACAGTTAAGAACAAATAATCCAGTCTTCATTATTTAGATTTGGTCTAAGTCTTAGTCTGTATTAACTAATACCAATGTGGAACGGATTGCCTCTTCTAACTTGGTCATTCTTTTTAACATGTAATAGGTGAAGTTCTACCTAGTTTCCACGTCTTGGATTGGCCGTTTGGGAACATTGTTATGTTGTAATTGATACTTTAAAAGCCTTTCTGAAGATAAGGTACTTTTTTGAAATGTGTTTTTTGCCGAATTTTCGAAAAAAAAAGACTTTTTATTTTATCTATTTGTACACGACAGCATTTAAGTGCGTCCTCCATCAATAAATTTAACGTAAATTAAATTTAAATTTAATGCAAAACAATTTAAATGTTTTCATTCCAAAACATATTTAATAGCTTTGACCATATTTGACGCATTATCAGTTACTGCAAAATTTACTTTTCGTTTTAGACCCCACTGAATAATAATTTCACTAATTTTAAAAGCGATATTTTCTGAATTATGGTTTCCAGAAAAATGGCAGCAGCCTAATAAAACCGTTTTAAATTCTAAATTTTAGGTTAAATATTGTCCTGTTAATGCGATATAACTCTCAGTTACTCCAGATGTCCAGAGGTCAGTAGTAATACAGATATTTTCTACTTCTTTAACAACTTGTGATCTAATAATTTGCTCAGTTTTGATATAACATTCCTGAAGTAATGAACTTGACAAAGTTTTTCTTGTTAACGGTTTATATCCAAGAATCCACCCTGCAAACTTTTTAAAAGCTCGTTCTTTAACTATGGAAAACGGATGAAACGAGTCTTTGCATAGGTTAAGTAAATCCATATCTGTTTCTTTTGTTCTAAACTAATATTTTTATTAATGGAAGTATCCATCACCTTCGAAAATGCAGATCAATCGTAAATCGAAACTCATTCATTAATCAGAATACTTATTTTCAATGTCAACCGATAGCCCGACTGTCCACTGTCTCGAAAGAGTCGCATGTTATTTTTAGTTTTGTAGTAGTCTCTCAGATCAAATAATCGTCCTCGTCGACGTAAAGTGTTCGTTGCTCCTCTGTTTACGTGTTTATGGCTACACAAAACGTAGTTTTTTTGAGTCAACCATCAACTAGTTGGCTTACCAGTGAGAAACCGTAGATTCGTAAATGACAAATAATGATTTAAAACGCAGGGATTTTCTGATAAAAATGAATGTAAAAAACAAAAGAAAGAGTTAAGAAGCTGGTTACTTCTATAAAAAAAAGAAAAAGAAGATTGTACTATTGAAAATTAACCAGTACAAGAAAAAGAAACTGATAAAGATGACTTAAGTCCATGTAAATGTAAGTACTATTTGTATTGTTTAATTTATTTTTCAAGTTATAATAAATATATCCTTCGTTAGTTTCTTTCACTTCAATACTTATACACATAAATGATAAGAGCCAATATGTTTGTGTACTCGCTAATTTTAATACTGGTAAACAATCAACTAGTTACAGTTTACGAAAAACGGTTCCGATAAAAATTAAAAAAACTAGAGGACCCACCTGTAGTTTCTTAGCTATATTAGGATCGGAATCAGAGAATATGTAAAATATCTCTGATCGGAACTAATCGTCTCACTAATAGGCAATGAGCGTCAAGAAGATTTATGGAGGGGAGACCAAAGAGAAATATGATTGTTATCTTTATCTATTCGCTGAAAATATGATTTTATATCTGTGTTAGATATCCTGTTAAATTTTACCATACCGACCATAAACTTTTACCTACACTATATATATATATATATATATATATATATATATATATATATATATATAATATATATATATATATATATTATATATATATATATATATATATATATATATATATATATATTTGGGTTTGACTTCGCGTTAAATAGTTTTGGTTTTTAGAAAAACCATCGTTTTGGAGACGTTTCGGCAAGCTCACAGTTGCCATTGTCAAGTCAAATTAGTTCTGCTTCTCCGCAAATGAGAATATCAATGTGAATGCGCTGGTGCCGGCGCTGGACGTGACAGCAGGCGGGACGTCAATGGCAGGGTATTGAGGAGGCGGGGCCCTATCATACAACTAGCTACGGCCCAACAAGAAGAAGAAGAAGAGCCAAGCAACAATAGGAGCTCCCTCAAGCGAGACGACCGAGATAGCGCATGAAATAGACCTGTGTCTATAAATGAAAACATTTTGCGCTTCTATTACAAGGTGATAAACCTCGGTCGAGAAACGATTGGCTATCGACAACATCTGTATCTTTTCCCAGAGAATAAATGCGATACCATCAGAAGCAAATTTGAACGGGAGATTCATAACCGAGAGTTAATTGTAGAGCAAATCCCTATTGAGCAGACTCCTAAGCCTCTCATACAAGAGACTCAACCTGTTAATACACAGCAAGATAACAATGAGTTGCACTATAGCCTAGTAAATGAAATGTTTTTGTTTTTGAGTTTAATGGAACAAACACACTTGGCAGACCACCGCTACCAAAAATAAACTCTTGTAAGAAACTATTATGGTAAAAAACGTGATTATTCAATTATATAACCATTTATTTGGAACACAACTGTACACTCTTTTAGAACATTACTTAACCAAACTGTATTTAGTACTTAGTTGAAGTTGCTATGATATTACTTCATAATTACCAATATGTGATACAACAACTTGCCATCTTCACATTAATTTAGTTCTGATCTGTGAGATAATAATTGTTGTCTCTTTTATAATAGTCCTTGCTATATCAGCAGTCGTTCATTAGTGGGTTGAGTTTGTTTTTTCAACATACGACAACAATATGGTCGCGATTCACAATTCTACTGACTTACACATTCTAATCGAGGCTGTTTTTTATGAATGTGCTCAATTCGAATTATTGCATATTTTATATAAACAAATGTGGAATGTGTTACATGTTCCTTGTAACTTATTCTTTGTTATGAATTGTAATATTTTAGGGATAATACCACACTATGTGCGCTAATTACTATTTAACTGGGAATAAGCCACAATTAAAGGTAAAAATATGTTTATTGACATTCTCCGATCGATTTCCAAAGTGGAAATTGAAACGTCAATAAACATATTTTTACCTTTAATTGTGGCTTATTCTCAGTTAAATAGTAATTAATTTAAAATGCCACAAGAAAATAGCTTCAGAACAATACTATGTGCGCTGTTACAAATTGTGAACACTGAAGTCCTGCCCAATTATATCGTGGAAGCCCATACACTAGAATATTTGCATATGCTGATTTACTCCACACTGTACATATGAACAACAATTGCTAATGTTATGAGCATTAAGATTAGAATACGACGAGGTACTAATATTATAAGAATTGAAAACACAATTGGCAAACCTAGGCAAACCGACTGCTGTAAGAAGTCGAAAAGTAATTAAAAGTGCTGAAGAAATAATTCTGAACACTCCAAGACACTCACAACACGATCTAAAAAACAATATAGTTCAACACTGCCTGGACAAATTAAAACAAAAATTCTCCATTTATTCAGGGTGCCTATGGAGATACAAAGTTAGTAATCAGAAATACGACAATTTCCTTTTTGAGCGTGCAGAGAAGGCTTTCTATAGGAAAGTGCATTCCACTGTTGAAAATAAAAATAAATCCTGTCCAATCCAAGAAGAAATTCATGAATTTAGGGAAAACCAACTTTAGATGCCAGCTACTCATAACAACAATGCTGGATGGACTGAAGACATGACAAAAAACTGTCAACACTACAGTAATATTCCTTATAAACCAGGAATTATCGGTGGTAAACCACTGAAGAAGTCTTGAACATTATTAAGAGCTTTATAACTATAAATCTCCTGGACCAGACGGAGCTCAAAACTTTTGGATAAAGAAGTTTTAGAGTGTTCATGAGCTTTTAACAGTATTACTTAATCATGTTCTTACTCCTGGAACCATTTATCTAATACTGAAGGATCAAAATACCACCTAAGATCCAAGTACCGCCCAATTACTTGTCTTCCAACTTTGTACAAATTAGTCATATCCTGTGTAGCCCAGCGTATCTACCAATACTGTTCTCTAAACAATGGCATAAAGCCTCAACAGAAACAATGCGCTAAGGGTTCCATGGGCTGTAAAGAACAACTAATCAACTAAGTCATTTCTAATCAGGAATACACAAAAAAAGGAACCTTTTTATTGCCTCCATTTACTGGAGAAGGCCTTTGATTCAGTACCGCAATAATGGTTTACAGATATAATGAAAATATATAAAGTCTATGATAGTATAGGGACCTTTATAAAGCATATAATGATGGAGTGAAAGACTAAATTTCAATTTTTTTATTTCATTTAGAATGTTAATATAGTATGTTCTCTACTAGTGTCCTTATCAAAATAATTAGGTAAATAAAAAAACAAGATCTATAAAACAATCATTAAATCAACATTGGAATGCAATACATAGATGATAACAGACAACACAAAAATGTCATTTTTTTAGTAAGTTTTTTAAAGAAAAATTTTAAGGAAGATCTTTGGACCAATCAATAAAAATGGAATATTGAGATCTAAATAAAACCATGAACTTTACCAACTGTTCACAGGAACACTTAACTCAAAATTGCCTAAACTCCACAGATGTGGATGGACTATGTAGTCATATAGTGCAGATGGATGACAACATATTGGCAAGATAAGCAATAGACAGTAAAATGTAAGACATATAACCACAAGGGAAACCAAAAAAAAAATTGAGAACACAGGACCTGCAATATGAGATGCAAAAATAAGGAGGCTGAGGTTCAATCTGGGCTATAGTGCTAGTGTAAGAAATCAAAAAATATTTTCTTTAAATAATACTTTACAACTAAATTTACCTATGGATATCTCCCTTTCTAGACTTCTTCAAAGCTTCAAGGGCATTTTTCTGTAAATAGTTTTTAAGCCTTAATAATTCTTGTGCCCTTTTCATATCCATCTGCATCTTAATGTGTGCATAAATGGGATGATTTTGATTGACTTTTGTGAAGTCAACCTCATTTTTATATCTGAATTTAAAATTTGTGTTAGGATTATCTGTAGAGGGCAGAGGGATAATTCTATCTACATAATCAGTTGGTAAATCACAGCTTTGTAGAATTGTACACAATGTCGTACGAATATCATTACCCTGTAAGTGGATGTTAATGAAACGAAATTTGCCTACAACAGAAGAATCACATTATTATAACCAAATAAGTTTATACTAATACTATAAGAATAAATATACAAATTTAGCGATGTTTCAAAGGCTTACATTCTTCTGGTATATACCTGTTTTCTTTGCTTTGTCTTTAACATAGAAACTTAAGCTCACAGGAGGAACAAATTTAGATTTTTGAATTTTCTCTAAAATGGAACTCAACTGTTGTAATGATGATTCATTCCTAGCCTAAAAACACTGATTAAAATGCAAGATATAAAACATTATAAATATACTTACCCTTTCTCTAGGATACTTTCCAAATAAATCGGGATGAACTGCAAAATAAAAGGGTCTCAAAGCAGTAGAAACTTCTAGGGAAGTGAAATTTCGATTAAGCAGTATAATTAGTGTGTTTCTATTAGTTAACCTAGAACAGAAAGTATCATTAAATATACTGCAAGTATTCAATGTTGAATTTAATTACAAACTGGAAAAATTACGCAGCATTCTTTCATTTTTGAATATCCTTTTAAATAATACACCGTACAGGGTTGCCAGGTGAAAATTTTTGTCCTCCCTAAATTGAACATTAAAATGTCCCTAGAAATCCCTAGATTGGAATAAAGGTATATATGGTTGCCTAATTCTGAATAAAATGATGGAATGTATTGATGGTTGCCTAATATAATAACATGGAATTAAAAAAAGGTAGAATTTACCGAAAGTACAAGCTGATTATAGCCACAAATGTCAAACATGGAATAAATAATTTCGGTATAGCAGTGTTGGCATGTTTTTATAATGTAGATGCTATGTAAATATTTGTTTCTTTGGAGATTAATTGCAGTTAATTATTAGAATTTTTTTTAGCAATTACACTTTGGGTAGATTAGGGGATAGATTTGGCAATCGTCAAATCAGCAGTTGCCAGATTACAACAGATGTTTGCAATTAATCTCGAAAGAGACAAATATAAATCATAAATATCATTATATCATAAAATAGTATAATTAAAATATACTTTTTAAAAGCTTTATCTCTTTATATTTGAAGCATACTCGAGCAAAAAGACAAAAGAGGGATTGTAAAGGTAGTGGGGGCAAAAATATTGTTAGACAGGAAGTGCGATCTTTAGAGGCCACATTAAGCAAGGAAAGATAGTCTCACTCCTTGTTTGACATCAAATTTAGTTGGGTTATATTATTATTTGTCCCAAATGTCACATGAAATCTTATTTATATTGAAGTTTTTTAACAATTGTGTCGCATTTTGAAGACACATTCTGAAAACTATTTTATAGCTACTGTTAATAAAGTGTCGGAAAAATTCAAATTTGGCGCATTCGCATTTCCGGATATGTCCGCCATCAGAGGCCACTTTTTCGGTCTCCTTTTCATAAGGATTAGATTCTCTCTTTTGTCTTTTTGCTCGATGATGCCCACACTGCCAAGCCGAAATATTTTTGACATTTGCGGCTAAATTCAGCTTGTACTTTCTGTAAACTCAACCTAAAAAAATAATTGTTGTTTTATACCTTTATTTCAAAAAAATTTCATTTTTAAACTTTACAATAGCGATGATTTAAATAAATTTAACAAAAACGGAATAACGTACTTATTTTGGCTTTGAATATTCCATTTAATATATTAAGTATTATTCACTTCATAAAATTAATACAAAATATAACTTGAAGAAAAATGAGATGGTGAAGCATAGAATTTTATTTATATATTTCCACGAATTCTAGGATTCACCCGATTCATACTGTAGATCCCCTAATTATTTATTTTATAAAACCTAAGATTTTTGTAAATCCTCTAATTCCTGCTCCAGAATTTGCTTCTCCTTTATGAAAATATATAGGACTATATTTTTGGCAGAAATCTATTTGGTAGCATAAAATAAAGATTCGAAGAACGTGGACAGTTAGCGACATCTGATAATAGAATCCTTTAGTAGTTTACTAGTAGTTTAAGTATTTGTAATAAAAGATCGCTTATTTAGTACTGTTAATACGAAGTGGTTTTATACCTGAATTAAAGAACATGCTATTATAATAGGCCTATGTAGGTAAATATTTGAGCCGGTCAAAAATCCCTAGATTTTACAATAAATATCAAAAAATCCCTTTGTCCCTTTTATGCTGAAATATCCCTAGACTCGGGATAAATCCCTAGATCTGGCAGCCTTGCACCGTAACTCCAACCTTAACACTGCACTGCACTGTCCATTTCTCTATGATGGTCCTGTCATAACCAGTCATAACAACACTCAACACTGTTCCCTGTTCACAGCAGAGAACCACGAACACACTGTCAACTGTCACAGAAGAATGAACAATCACAATCAGAATGCCCACTCTCCATGGAAAATTAAGTACGCGCATCTCCTTTGCGCAGACGTTCCGCCATGTTTTAGAGGGAACCAGTGTTGTTTATGTGGTGTGCATAGAAAAATTAACCCGGTTTAATTGAGTTACGGCAATTATAAACATACTATACAATTATATTAACATTGTTAAATATAATAACATAAATATAATATAATTAAACATAAATATAAACAATTACATAACCTTACAAATCATATGTTTGTGTTATGTGTTTCCTTCTAAAAAATAGCGCACGTGCTGAAAAACTTCAAAGGCGGCATCTGATTGTTTATTATTCTGTAACACTGTGGTCGTTGTTAGTTCTCTGGTTTTAACTTTTAAGGTAGATTCAAACACATCAGTCCCGTCCCAGTCCCGGCGCCGAACCGGTCCTGGTTGGTCACAGAACTATTAATTATCTGACAGCTGGGTTGAGTTTACCCATCGAGTTAGAATCTATGGAGAGGGCATCACGTGACTAAAAATGACCTTACTTCGGCCATATTTTTAATATTGTTTTGACACTTTTGACAAATCGTATATGTTTGTTTACATTTGTTGTTTTTCGAATATTTTTAGTTTTATAATACTTTTATAGAAACTGTAATATTGTACTGTGATAGTGCATAATAATGGTTTCTTGTTCCCAACGTAGTTGCTGTAGCAGAAGCAATGTTAATAAAAAATGTTCAGGAATATCGTTCCACAGGTTAGTATACAAATATGTAAACAAAGTAATGGCCCGTACTTCAGAGAATAAATTAATAGTATTTGACTGTATTAATTTATCTTTATGTATATTAATATATCGTGTTTTTAGTGATTACCGCGGGATAAATAAATCATGGCTTATTAAAATGTATTGCACTTTTTTAGATTATGATTCAAATTTCTGAATAACTAGTCATATTTGTATAGTAGTTTTAATATTATTAAGTCTTGCCCTGATCCCACCGCCATATTGGTATTATCGTTAGCCACGCCTACCTACGCCGTTTTTAATACATACTTTAATATGCTCATAGCTTCTCCATAGATTTTAACTCGATGAGTTTACCGAAAGTACAAGCTGAATATTGGGACCGTGAAAGTTCCGAACAGCGACACCTGGTGTCGTAAATCAGCCAAATTTACTGCACTTTCATGTTAGATCGAGGTTACCGGATAACTGTCAAGGACGTGGCCCCAAAAAAGAATAAGAAGAAAAAGTAAGATTGAGGTTATGTCGGTATGTTATTAAAAGGTAAACGTTGATGTAGCGTAAATACAAATAAATATATTATTGAATTACAGCATTACTGTTAATATGGATGCAATAATAAAAACTGGATTTGAGAAAGTAAATCACCAAATAACTTTTTAACCAAGCACGGGTCAAAGGGAAAAAACTTTAGTAGTGGCAAATGTCAAAAAAGAATGGAAGAATTATGTGGAGTCAAAGAATTAAGAAAAATAAATTACCATAAATAATGCTAATGCATAAATTAGCAGGTTAAGCCCATGATATCATCATATTGGTTTGAACAATTAATTCTTTCCCTGTAAATTTTTGGACAGCGAATATATCTTAATGCATCTTCATAAAAACTTGAACTTGATGCATTTTTGTAAACTTCAAAAAAATAAAATTCAAACATTAAACTTGATTTTTGGGTTAAAATGAACTCTAAGTGAGTGTTATGAAACTAAAATTTACACTTAAAAGTGAACTTTTATTTATTATTTATTTCAAACTGACTTTAAAATCGGGCGCAAGAATAATGCATAATTTAGGTTATGTTACTTATGCTTTTTTATAATATAAATCCACTTTTCTCTTTGTAGTAGCTTTGTGCTTCGAAGTTGGAAACGAATAAAACTTAAATTGACAATTTTTTGTTGTATTTTTACAATTTATAACACAGCATTTCCTAAATCCCATTTTCTTCAGTGACAGAAGGTGTAAATAAACAAAACGAATATGAAACACTACTCGCGCACGATCGTTTCTCGTATCCCCTCCAAGTACTTGCACGTCGCCAATAGGCGCAAATGTCAATAATATTTCGGCTTGACAGTGTTGGCATGTTTTTATAATGCATATATTGTATGCTTCAAATATAAAGAAATAAAGCTTTTAAAAAGTATATTTTGATTATAGCATTTTATGAATTCTGCAATTTTTAATTTATATGAAGCAGTAACGAGTAGATATTTGTCTCTTTCGAGAATAATTGCAAACGTCTGTAATCTGGCAACTGCTGATTTGACGATTGCCAAATCTATCCCATAATCTACCAAAGGGTAATTGCTAAAAAAATGTCTAATAATTTACTACAATTAATCTCCACAGAAACAAATATTGCACAGCAATATTACAGCAACTCATTGTTGTTTGATATAAATCAAAAATTGCAGAACGCTTAACATAATATAAACACAATGTACTTTTTTAAACCTTTATATTTTTATATTTGAAGCATACAGCATCTACATTATAAAAGCATGCCAACACTGCTATACCGAAATTTTTTGTTCCATGTTTGACATTTGCGGCTATAATCAGCTTGTACTTTCGGTAAACTCAACCGACAGCTGGGATGTTCGTCAACTGATGAATGTGAATGCCGGCGGCATTCTATTTCTATTAAAGAATATTTTGTATGACGGATTGTTCGGTTCGGCGCCGGGACTGTGACGAGACGTGACTGATGTGTTTGAATCGACCTTAATAAATCCATGATATAAACAAACCCAAACAAAATAAATAACATTATACCATAGAAACGTCACTGAACAACCCAAAGGTGCACTCCGATAAATTTACATTGGTAGCTGTCAGACAAATTCGGTGACCTTGCGCCATTTTTTTATTAGGATGTCAGTGTTTACGATTGCACAAAATCAAATTATACTCCATTCGCTTAGCTCGGGCACAGAATAATAAACAATCAGAATGCCCACTCTCAGATGCCGCCTTTAAAGTTTTTCAGCACGCGCGCCATGTTTTCGAAGGAAACACAATAACACCACAGTATAGACAAATAATACAGTCACAGACATATGATTTGTGAAGTTATGTTATTTCATATTTATGTTTAATTATATTATATTTATGTTATTATATTTAACAATGTTAATATAATTGTATAGTATGTCTATGATTGCCGTATGTCAATTAAAACTGGTTAATT